TTTAGCACGAGAAGTGAAATCTTTACGTAATAAGGACATTTCCTTTGTTTAAGTTTTGTGGAAAAACCAACAAATCTACTTTGGAGTGTGAAGAGGAGTTTAAACGTGTCTATCCACATTTGTTTATGGAATTAGAAACTTTCGAGGACGAAAATTCTTAAAGGAGGGAGGAGCTGTGATGACCTCAACATAAAGGAAGGTATGTGAGTTTATATGTTGTGTGGGTGTTTTCGGAATTAGAAACTTTTGAGGACGAAATTTCTTGAAGGAGGGAGGAGTTGTGATGACCTCAACATAAAGGAAAGTATGTGTGTGTGATTTGAGATTATATATTGTGTTGGTGTAATGATAATAATAATAATTATACGTAAATAAATAAACAAGTAATTAAAAAAAAATAGGGCACAGTAGCTGCGTCAAGCAGCTGTTGTAACAGAGGAAATAGGAGAAAGGAAACACGTGGAGGCATTGAGGCATTTGAAGTAAGGAATTGTGGGAATGTGGGGTAGTGTTAGAAGAGAATAAGGAAGATTGGAGTAGGTTTGAAAACGAAAAAAAAAAAAACAAACAAACAATACAAAGAAAACAGAGGAGGGGATTTAAATCCGTGTTCTTTTTTTAAAAAAATCTTATGGTTTTTTATGGTTGTCATGGTGAGGTGCAAGCTTGAGGATAGACGAACATGTGTGGAGACCCTCGCTGATGGAAGCTCAAGAGTTAAGTTGTATTAGGCAATGTACAAATGTAATGAAAATCTATATTTTTGAAGCTTTAAATCTTGTTATAAAATAAGACTGGTTAGATTCGTAGGAATGAGATCTACAAAGTTGCAAACAAATCAGGATGAAATTTGGGGTTGGGCAAGGACACAATGAATTAATGTAAAAGCTGGAAAGTTGCAGAAAGTCGTGAGGAAGAAGACACTAGCACGTACAAAACATGTGCACGTGTGAGGGCTGCGACTGGGCAGACCGTAAGCACGTGGGAGAGGCTTACTGGCGTGTGAGGCTTCTGTTCGGCTCTCGGTTTGTTCCGTTTGACTTCTTTTGACCTATTCTATCAAGATTGGTCTATCCTTATCTTGAAGATTGTTAATATAAGTCTAATTGGGAGAAATTGTGTTAGGTTACCCTTTTAAGCATACATTATAAGATGAAGGAGTTCAAAATGAAGTAGCATATCGAGCTTCTCAAACAAGTTCTTTAACTTGTTTTGAAATATACGAGCATGTTGATTTCATGATTAAGAGTTAATATAGTAACATATGTGTTATGATTAATTGTTTGTATTTTATGATTGCATGCATACTATAAATGAAGTATGAAAATTTTCCTGAGTTGAATATATATTTATATATATAAGAATGCAGGAATATAATATGAGCCTGAGCCTGCAATAAATGTCATATAAAAGGTTGTGGCTCTAGGTTATGGTTAGGGTTACAGTTTATTGAGCCATGGGCTATATATGAACATTGTTAATCTATTAATTCCCGCGGAATTCCTAACCGACGCATTGTGTGTTAAGTTAGGAACAATGAGGATTTCCGACCGTTAGATTATTTGATGTTACAGAATGCTAAAGAAATGAACCCGAGAGTTGATTTCTGACCGTTGCAATGTCTTCAATCAACTCTCAGGTTGTCCATTCGATACATTATTTCTTGAATGGGCAGCCCATCTAATCAACCCGTCATTGTGTCAACGGCGAGAGTTTTGTCAGCGAGTTCCTTCACCCGCTCGTCTAGATATCGAATACGGTTGGGGACTTCCTGCAAGTATTGCATATGTTCTTCTATGTCGACTAGTCGGTCGACATGTAAGTCACACTATTTAGTCGTAGCCATGTCTATCGAGTCACTTTTGGAGCCAACTAGGCTCTGATACCAACGGTTACAATCGCCTTTTTCTTGGCAACGGATTTGGCAATTGTGCGGTACTCACTCTCAGCACTGAGTGAGTCAAGCCAACTTCCGATCGCATTGCCTATGGTCGAGCAACATATGCTCAAGATGTCGTATTAGTGATGCCGCCTTCTACTTGTTAGCATGACCTCCCCCCCCCCCCCC